CTTCTGTCTCCAAAGTGCAAGGGAGGATCTGTCAGGCTGATTGAATCTTCCCTGTAGTTTTTGCTGACAGCTGTGTTCAGATAATTCACAACACCCATGTTTCCTGAGCCCTGGATCATTTCACACGCATGTCTGCTTTGGGCTTCACATTTTCAGAAGGATATGGAAGCTTTGGAGGAGGTCCAGGCAGACCAAAGGGAAGGATTAATAGCCTGGGAGTTGGAGTTCAGGAAGAAGGCTGTGAGATCAGATCTCTTGCAACGAGGAAAGTCTGAGTGGTGACTTAGTAACACGAGGAGGTTAAAAAGCAGCTGTGCCCCATCTTCAGGAAGGTTAGGTGAAATAAGACATAAATGGCAACAAGAACAAAAATGCATTACAAGCAAGAACTTCCAAGAGCTAGCATTGCTGGATTCCAGACAAATACTAGAAGCAGGATGTGCATTCTACTCCCCCCGTCTGCAATGTCAGGCCTACTGGTAGTGAGGATGATGAGACTGTATCTTAAGATCCCTTCTGGACCTGTCTTTTTTCTTTTTCATACCGGGAATTGAGCTCAGGACCTTGTGCTTGCCAGGCAGGCACTATGCCGCTGAGCTATACCCACTGGTCTAGACCTATCTTTTTGAAAGTCTACTTAACCATAGTCAGAGAAATCATTTGCCTCAAACAAAAAATACTTCTCTATTTTCTCTTTACTATTCCTTCCACCCCTTATCCTTTGCCCACCTTTTGAAAACACTGCAAACAGAGAATAACTGGGGCACTAGTTAGCTGCAGTGCACACGCTCTACCCTCCAGATGCCCCTGCCTTTAGGAGCAACCTTTTTACCACTGCGGTCCCCCTGGCCACCAGGCACACACTTGTGGTCATCTTTCAATACCAGCGACCAAACTGATGGCAAGGCAACACCAAAAACATTTCCTAGCCTTGATTATTTCACTAATGGCCCAATGGATTCGAGCTCAACCAATAGCCTAGAACACGAACTCCAAAAGGGCAAGACTGGCTTTTATTTCTCTGCCTGTATCATAGTCCACAGGATAGCGCCAGTTATCTAATAGGTGCTCAGCCAGTTTTCAGCAATCATATGAGGGGAATTATGAAACGCAAGGGAGCAGAAGGGAACCTGAAGCTGAGACAGTCCAGACCTTCACGTTTCCCCGTGATCCTGCGCGCTAGGCACAGCGACCCGCATGTGCTGATGTTCCTCCCACCGTGCCTGCGCCTGCCGGGCCAGCTGCACATTCCACCCGGGTTCCCCGTCAAGGATTCAGGAGAGGCACCGTGCGGACACGTGTGTCAGAACTACACAAAGCAGCCCAAATTCTTGGAGTATGTTGTTAATACAACTTTAGGAAGTGCGATCATTATTTTTTCTAAACTACCTCTTTTTTCGTGAGGAATGACAGACAATGCCTCCAGTGTTAGCACATAGCCTAAGACGGATCGGTCTCAGAAATATGGTTCTGATCCAAATCCTGAAACCCTCTGAGTGAGCTGGCTAATTCTTCCCAGAACACAACCAACAAGTGGCCGCCGCAGTCAGCGCTCGCTTTTTCCCGCGCCCCACGATCTCATATTCCTTTCCCACGGTTGTGGAAATGTTACGATGAGTAAGTCAACCGACTCCTCACTGTTCATTTTAAAATGTTCTCCAGGAAAATCTGGTAACTCAGAGCGCAACCAAGTTGACCGTCCTCATGTTTGGGGGCTGGCTTCAGCTTCAAAACTTCGTAACAAATTTCGTGCTGTTTTCCTGGAAAAGGCCGAACGTTATTCCCACATTGGATCAGTTTTTCGCTGTCTTGTTCTACACTCCAAATCTGAGCCCTTCTTCTGTGGTCGCTTGCTTTGTCTGCCACCATTGCCCCGCCCAGTTTGTGGTTCCTTTACCGGGTGGTGACCAACTTGGTCCCATCTGGTACAGCACAGAGCTGTTTCTATGGTTCCCGAGAAGCTTACAGGGAAGTACTTCCTAATGAACAGGGAAAGTATTTCTCCCTGAAACTCCTCCTCAGGCAGGCTTCATTCAATAATTTCAAGGGTTCTTGATGAGATGGTTCAACCCTGGACTGGGCCTTTGAAGTCGTCCAGCATGAATCTGGAAACATCCCTGTCACTCTGCTCAGCAGGGGAGTTTTCTGTTTACTTGTTATTTTCCTGGGTTAATGACTTACTCCAATTTTCCTCCGTGTTTGAGGTCCATTCATTTGATACTAGACAAGCTTTTTTTTTTTTTTTGAAAGTGAAGGCAAGAGTAACTAGGAAACTTAAGTAAACATAATTAAAGATAAAATGCTTATACTGAGAGGAGAATTGACCTCAGCCAATTAAAATTATTAATAGAAAAAAGATGTCAATGTCAAATCTGAGCCTACTGCCTCCGTTCCCACTTGGGTAATGAGCACTAGTTTATACTTCCTGACAAGAGTAGATGGCAAGCCACATTTCTCGCCAGTTTTATCCTCCTGGAATATCGGGTTACTACAGCATTAGACTGTAACTAAAAAGACAGACGTGGACTGATCCAAAATTGACTTGAAGCCCCACAAAGGGAAATCAATTGCATTTTCTTTTCAGGCTATGAAGCTTTTGCTTTTAATGACAGAAAAATATTCATATCCTAAATTTGGAATCTTTCCTCCTAACATATTATGTCACAGACCAATATTTAAGATGAATCACAAGTGAATGCTGTATGTTCCCAGCATCATCTTTGATCATAAGAAGAAATCACTTTATAAAAAGTTTGGTCTTAGACCTCCAAGACTGTCCATATTACCCAAGTTAAACAAATGAAAAATTCAGAATACTGTGCAAGGAGCTGTCTTTAGTTCACCCTGGCTTCGTGGCTTTTGAATGAAAACTGTGTTTGCAAGGCAACGAGGGTTTGTCTTCTCTCCTCGTGCTTTGGTGACAGGATAATCACAAACCAGAGTTGGCGAATACCCAGAAGCATTCAGAGGTCTGATCACCAGGTCCCTCTGAGCTGGCATTTGATCTTTTGCATTTGTTCATATTCCTGCCTTCCCTGTCTCTGTCTTCTCCTCAGTAAAACTGCACCACTCACTGGAGAGGGAAGATACAAACATTTGTTTATATAATGTCAGGGGAGAGTAGGAATCAGATTGGCCGTGGACCCGCCCAATCAGAGTCTACAAGCGAGAATGCTTCTCCCTTCAGCAGTAATGCTGGCTTGGCCCTGGGAATTGAGCAGGTGAAAGACTAACAGTAACTTCCACACCCAGCTGCACTGCCAAGATCCTGCACACGCATTTGCCAAGGACTTTCTCAGGAAAGAAGCGAATTGCAACTGAGCTTGAAAGTTGGAGAGTATGTTTGCCCTTAGCTGAGACACTTTGTTAAAAGTTTGAGGGAAGATTCCTCTAGTCCCTTATGACGCAATTCACCTGTTTTTAAAATTTATCATACTTGCTTCTTAAATCCCACCACAATATCTAGAGAAACTGTGGGTGCATTCAGCCTACACCCTGGGAAGCATTACAGAGGGTCGGAGAGGTGGCTGATCCTTAGCAGCTCTCTTCTTACTTCACACACACCAGATATTCCACAGCCGGCTTCGCCATCTGTGTGGTGGGGAGTTTGTATTGATCGAGCGTTCCATCAAGCTGACAGAGGTGCAAAGCTAACTGTGTGACACTCTAAGAATATGCATATATTTGAATAACTTGACTATTCAGCCCAGCAATTTGCAAAGCCTCGGAATGATCACACATCCTGTTAACACTTCCAAACAGCACACAGCTCTGTTTATGGAAGGGGAGACCCCAGGCAAGGTATCTGGTAGACTTCCGAAGTTCACGGAGGTCTTTCCTCTTGAACTTAACTGGTGAACTTAGGTAAGCTGCATGTGGCACGAGTCTCAGTCCTGTCACCAGTCTTTAGATGCTTTAACATGGCTAATGTTAGTGAAATCGGTTTGCTCTCTGCCCTTGGGTAAGTTGAACCCAGTGTGCAATAATGTCATATAGTCTGTTCAGCAGCGCATTCCTGGGAACCACAAGAATGTCCAGGAAAGCAAACTGTTTATAAGTCTTTCCCTTTAGCAAAATCAATGTTGGAGTGTTTAGGGGACTTCTTAGGGCAGAGAGGAGACTTAGCATCAGTACATATGCACAATACTGCTTAGAGCACTGGGGGGCGGGTCCCTGTCGCCCATCTGAATCCTCTGGGACCGTTTCACAAAGTGTGAATTCAGGCTGCCTGCTTCGGAGCCGCGGTGGCGGGGGTTGCTTATCAAAATGCTAATCGCCGGCCCCTGCCCCAGTCTTACTGCCGCACAATTCCACCGGGAGGGACCTTCATCTCAACACTCACTGGTGATTTCCTGCGCTGAGGAGGTCCGGGGATTCCGCGGCAAGTGCCGCTTCTGGCTCCCTACTGCTAAATTCAAGGTCTGCCCCAGAGCTTGCACACTGCTGGAACCAACGGAGAACAGGGGCTCCGAAGCAGACACGAGGTAGAGTGTCCACAAAGTTCATCCAGGGGCTCGCGGAAAAAGAGTCCTTTGGCCCCCAGCCCTGTAAGTTCTGTCCTTGGGTCTCCGAGGCCAGTGACTAAAGACCCCTTCTGTTGAGGACAGACAGGATTAGCACGCCTCCGCAACCTCCCGGCCCACCCTGATTCTGCTTACAGCTGATTTTTAAAACGTTTATTTATTTTTGTCCAGGCTCATCATTAACAGGGTTGGCTTCTGGGTGTACGTTTGCTAGGGTCGGAAATACAGAGATCTGCAAAAGCATGCACTACCCTGGAACGGAACTCTTCTAATAAAAGATGGATCGTTTTCAATGCGCTGGATTCTGATTCTGGTAATTCGTGCACCCGAGTGTCTATTTCGAGGCAGCGGAGGTATCATATGACAGCGCGCGTCAGGGCACCGCGGGGCCCTCTCGCGGACTCCCACCCGCTTCCCCATTCACCCATTCACCGCTGCGAGCGCCGCCCTCCCCGCCCCTCCTCCCCCCCCCCCCGGGTTGCCTGAGACCTCCCTGCCTCGGCCAAGCTCACATGGGGCTCTGCACTGGAGGGTTGCGGGTGTCGCCTCCGCCATGCAGTTTCCACTATCAATAATTTAACTTCTCCGCGGCGGCCCAGGAGTACAGACCGGGCTCCCGAGACCCGCCCCCTTCCCTGCTTTTTTTTTTTTTTTTTTACCTAAAGGGAAGGTGAAAAATATTCAGAGTCTGGGAGTTTGGGGCCGAAGTCTCCCCGGCGCCGCTGCCTTGATGTTTACTTTGACGAGTCGAGGCTGAAAGGTGGGTTCCCGGCTCCTCTCTGCGCGCTCCGGGCTCGGGCTCCGCGAGGTCTGGCGCGCGGCTCCCGAGGAGAGGACGCGGGGTGACCGGGCCGGGGCGCAGCAGTCACCCGCGGGGCTCGGGCGGGCGCAGCGGGAGGCCCGGGAAGGTGTGTCCGCCCCGGGAATCGCGCCCTCCCGGAGCGTGGGTGCTGGGTGGGGACGCGGAGAGGTGCGCGGCGCGAGGGGAGCGAGGCGGGCGCGGCGGATTCGCACTCGCTTCCTGCGTGCTGCTGGGGGGCCCTGGGGGACGCGGCGTCCCCGGGATTGGCGCGCGACCACCTCCCCCAGCCCCGGGCACGTCCTGCCCCGCGGCTTGCGGGGATCGCGGGGCGAGCTCCGGGGCCGTGAGTGGGGAAGGCAGCGCGTGAGCGCGCGCGCGCGCAGGGGCTCCCCGGGGACCCCCGGCTGAGCCCGGGCGAAGAAAAGCGCGGCGTTCCCTTTAAGCGGCGCCCCGCACGGGTC